CATATTACATACTTGTAATATTTACTATATACTGTATGCATTAAGGAGCCCTGATGGTGCAGCGGTTAAAGAGCTTGGCTGCTAACCAGAAGGTTGGCAGTTCGAATCCCCCAGCCACTCCTTGGAAACCCTATGGGGCAGTTCTATTCTATCCTGTAAGGTCGCTAGCAGTCAGAATCAGCTCGACAGCAATGGGTTGTATGCATTGACGGTCCCTAGATGGCGCAGATGGTTTGTGCTCAGTTGCTAATCTAAAGGTTGGCGGTTCGAATTTACCCAGCAGTCTGTGGAAAAGGCCTGTCCGTCTGCTTTCATTAACATTACAGCCAAGAAAACCCTATGGAGCCACTCTACTCTGTAACACATGGGTTGCCATGAGCCTGAATGGACTCAGTGGTAAACAACAGCATACACAGTGCATTAGGCAATAAAGTGAAGTATAAATGAATAGATAGTTTTCTTTTCCTGAAACTTAAATTTAATTTTGAATACAGATATTTATGTAACCAGTAGTAAATGTCAAAATAAAGGCCATGAAAATGATAGCAAAGTCTTCTGGAAGCAGAGAGTGTTTGAGTTGAGAACATCAGAGAGAGATTTTTATGGAGAGAGTATTTTGTTCAGGACAAATAATATGATGAATGATGAATATGCTTTTAATAGGTTAGAGTAGACAGGAAAAGGCCATTTAAGGAAGAGAGAATGGTTTGGGCCAAAGATACAAACTTGTGAAAAAGAGTAAAATGTTTGAGATATAAATTTGTTGGCATAACTGGAGTGTAGGGTTTGTGGTGGGTGGAAGATGAAATTGGAAAGGTAAGTTTGGTCTAAATTGTGGAAACTTTGAGTACTATGTGCTAGAATTTAGGTTGATTTTTCCTTTTATTCTTCTTGTAAACTATAGGAGGATACGCCGATTTTATCCTTCTTTCTAAGGTTTTAAACAGAGGTATAATATGGTCAGATGAGACTTAGTTTTCAGAAGATAACTTTAGCAGTAATGTGAAGAATGGAGAGGAGAGACCAAGATAGACAGGTGATAGGAAATCTAGTAAGGAAGACACTGAAACAGTCCAGTCAAGCAGTTGGTACCTAATTCAGGAAATGAAAAGCAGGGAATGGATTTCAAGATTTTATTTCTACTTTAAACTTTATAGAAACAGGAGTTACTTTGATTTATAATAAAAAGTTGGTTATAATCAGCCGATTTTATTTCCATTAGATAATAATATATTTAGTTCATCTGAAGATGACATTGTTGCCCCAGTCACCCACGTATCCGTCACGTTAGATGGGATTCCTGAAGTGATGGAAACTCAGCAGGTTCAAGAGACATATGCAGGCTCACCAGGAATCTCATCACCAGAACAGCCCAAGAGAAAGAAAGGTGGGTGTTTAATTCGTTTACGGTCGAGTCTCGATATGCAATCTAAATATCATTGTTATTCAAGGGTATTTCTACATGAGGAGGCAGTTAAAACCAATGTAAGAAAAAAAGTAAAGCATTTTTAAAAACTTATGTAGAACAAAAATGAACAAGACATATTGAGAGGTACTTCATATTCCTTTTGTTTTTTTAATTAGATTATTTTATACATTTAAAATACTTGGCCTATCTCACACAAAAAGGGTTTTCCAACTTTTTAAAGCATCAAACTAATACTAAACCCTTTTATCCAAGCTAAGAAAGAGCTTGGGTGGTGAGGCAGGTCAGCTTCCTCCCAATAGGCATAGTTTGAAAACCATCAGTATAGATTCCTATGTAAGATTTTAGCTGCAAAAATATAATGAGTTCAAAGTCAAGTAAGTAGTAGAAGAGGAAAAGTTAGATAGAATGTGTAAAACGGGAATTTTTTTTAAAATTTTTCACAAATTAGGACCATGCTTGTGTTGTAGTCTGACATTCTTTCCATTTCATTGCCTTCTGATTCTACTCTAGCTTGTTTAATATTCTGAGTTTAATATCTTGGTTAGTGGCATCTCCAGCCAACCAGTAACCTAATGTAAGGGAAATTCCAAGACCCAAAAATGAAAGAAACTAAAAATCATAAGCATGAGCTGACACTGTAGCAGCTCTGAAGTTGGATAAGGATATGTTGGTCTTGGTGTCCAAAGGACTTGGATTTTATTGCCCATGCAGAGGCAGAAGCTTAAGTCTTGGTCCCATGCAAGATAAGAGTATTGGACAGAGACATCAGCATATAACTGGAGTCCTTGAGGGGCCATACTCTCAGGACTTGGGGAAAAAAAATCCATGCAGTGGCACAGAAAGATGTCAAGGAAGCTTGTGTTTCTTGGCCTGGGCTATGAGTGGAGGAATTCTCCCTTAGAGAATTTGTAATCTTAGGCCCGCCCTAACTGAAGTTTAAGATTAGATATTAATTTATCACTGACTTCTGGGAATTCCCAGCCAAGTAATTAACCTAAAAGTGGCCGCAAGATGGTAATAACTTTGGAACATCTGGCAGAAGCTCTAATAAAATTACTCAGGAAGGACATACCCTCAACCTAGGCCACATAAGAGTTCTAGATAAATAAAATCCTTTTGAAGGTGAGCTCACATTTCGGTATCACGGAACACATGAGGAAGACACTGAGTGAGAAGCAACAGACATAGGAAAACCCAGGGTTATAAATATGATTACAGTTATTAAAGCAAAAGGATAAAAAACATGGTAAAAGAATAAGACTATTAAAGAACAGACGAAACTTCATTTTCTAGTCAAGATGGCATAACAGGCTGGGTTTACCTTCTCATCTGAAACAATTAAAATAGTGGACAAACAATATGAAAAAATAGTACTGAAGACATTGGATATCAGTCAACAAAAGACAGTGATCCCTGAGGGACAGGAAAGAAATAAGATGAGCACTATGGTTGCTCTACCTTATTGTCTGGAGGAAATTTCTCGGCTGCAGAATAGGAAGAAAATCTGAGCAGAGCCCAGTGATCTCCCAGAGTTTAGGAGACTGAGCTGGGAATCCAGGAGGCAACTACAGATTGCAAGGCAGAGGATAGGAGAGGAGAGAGATGCACAGAGAGAATTACAGATATCCAAAGAGGGTCTTCCTCAAATATTCAGTTGACTACTCACCGTGAATGCATGTGAGGAAGCCACCCAAAGTCAGAGAAAGAACCACCCAAATGAATTATCCCAGAGTTAATTCTGTAAGAACTTCAGATAATGAAATTATCAAATAGAAACTTTAAAGTAAATATGATTACAGTTATTAAAGCAAAAGAATAAAAAGTATGGTAAAAGAATACATGGTTAAAAGGATTACAGGGAGTAGTGCCCAGAGCTCACACAAGGTGATGAATAATGCCTGTTCTGAATTCAGAAGGCTTCGGATAGAGAATTAGAAAGGATCTTCCCCACTCAGTAGTGGGGAAAATTAATCCTAGACTAAATGCAGCTCTGGTCCTGCCTAACAAATTAACTTTATCCCAGATTAAGTTTAAAAACATCTATAGGAACACAAAAATATCTAGCATCCAACAATAAAAAATTCACAGTATCTATCATCCAGTAAAAAAATTACCAAGCATGCAAATTACCAAGAAAATACAACTCATAATGAGAAAATCAGTCAATCAAAATGACTTAGAAATTACAAAGGTAATGAAACCAGTAGGCAAAAATGTTAAAAGTTATTAAGAATGCATTCTCTATATTCAGAAAGCTAGAAGAAAGATTGAACATGTTAAGTAATGGCACAGAAGATATAAATTAAAAACAAAAAAAAAATCAAGCTTTTAAAATGAAGACTACAGCATTGGAGATGAAAAATTCACTAGGTGGGATTAATGGCCTTAGACGTTGCCAAAGAAAAGATTAGAGAAGAATGAAACAATATAAACTGTCCAAAATGAAACTGAGAGAAAAAAGAAGCCCAATTAAAAAAAGAACAGAGCAGCAGTGAAGTGTTGGACAACTTTATTTTTCTTATTCTTTTTTTTTTATTGTTGTGCTTTAAGTGAAAGTTTACAATTCAAGTTAATCTCTCATACAAAAATTTATACATACATTGTTATGTGACCCTAGTTGCTCTCCCTATGCTGTGACAGTACACTTCTCCTTTCCGTCCCGGATTTCCAGTGTCCATTCAACCAGCTCCTAACCCTCTCTGCCTTCTCATCTCTGGACAGGAGATTTAGTCTCGTGTATCTACTTGAGCTAAGAATAAGAAGCACACTCTTCACGAGTATTATTTTATGTCCCATAGTCCAGTCTAATCTTTGTCTGAAGAGTTGGCCTTGGGAATGGTTTTAGTTTTGGGCTGACAGAGAGTCCAGGGGCTATGTCTTCTGGGGTCCCTCCAGTTTCAATGAAACCATTAAGTCTGGTCTTTTTACTAGAATTTGAGTTCTGCACCCTACTTTTCTCCTGCTCCATCAGGGACTGTCTGTTGTTTTCCCTGTCTGGGCGGTCACTTGTAGTATCCAAGCACCATCTAGTTCTTCTTTCTCAGGCTGATGAAGTCTCTGGTTTATGTGGCCCTTTCTGTCTCTTGGGCTAATACTTTCCTTATGTCTTTGGTGTTCTTCATTCTCTTTTGCTCCAGGTGGGTTGGGACCAATTGATGGATCTTAGATGGCCACTCGCTAGCTTTTAAGACCCTAGACGCCACTCACCAAAGTGGGATGCAGAACTTAATAAACTTTGTTATGCCAGTTGAACTAGATGTCTCCTGAAAGCATGGTTCCCAGACCCCTGCCCCTGCAACTCTGTCCCTTGAAGTGTTCGGTTGTTTTCAGGAAACTTCTTAGCTTTGGTTTAGTCCAGTTGTGCTGACTTCCCCTGTAGTGTATGTTGTCCTTTCCTTCACCTAAGATAATTCTTGTCTACTATCTAGCTAGTGAATATCCCTCTCCCTTCCTCCCTACCCTCTTAACCATCAAGAATGTTTTCTTCTGTGTTTAAACCTTTTCTTGAGTTGTTATAATAGTAGACTTATACAATATATGTCCTTTAGCGACTAATGAAATCTACTCAGCATAATGCCTTCCAGATTCCTCCATGTTACAAGATGTTTCATGGCTTCATTATTGTTCTTTATTGTTGGATAGTATTCCATTGTGTGAATATACCATAATTTGTTTATCCGTTCATCCACTGATGGGCACCTAGGTTGTTTCCATCTTTTTGCTGTTGTGAACAGTGCTGCAGGGAACATGGATGTGCATGTATCTGTTTGTGTGATGGCTCTTATTTCTCTAGGATATATTCCAAGGAGTGTGATTGCTGGATCGTATGGTACTTCTATTTCTAGCTTTTTAAGGAAGCGCCAAATTGATTTCCAAAGTGTGTGTGCCATTTTACATTCCCACCAACAGTGTATAAGTGCCAGTCTCTCCACAGCGTTTCCAACTTTTATTATTTTGTGTGTTTTGGATTAATGCTGCCCTGTTGAAGTGAGATGGTAATCTCATTGTAGTTTTGATTTGCATTTCTCTAATGGCTAATGGTCATGAGCTTTTCCTCATGTGTCTTTTAGCCACCTGAATGTCTTCTTTGGTGGAGTGCCTGTTCATATCCTTTGCCCATTTTTTAATTGGGTTGTCTTTTTGTTGTTGAGGTTTTACAGTATCTTGTAGATTTTAGATATTAGATGCTGATCAGATTTGTCGTAACCAAAATTTTTTTCCCAGTCTGTAGGTTGTCTTTTTACTCTTTTGGTGAAATCTTTTGATGAACATAAGGGTCTGATTTTGAAGAGCTGCCAGTGATTTTGAAGAGCTCCTAGTTATCTAGTTTCTCTTCTGGTGTTTGTGCATTGTTACTTATGGTTTGTATTCTGTTTATGCCATGCATTAGGGCTCCTAGCATTGTCCCTATTTTTTCTTTTATGATCTTTATCATTATAGATTTTTTATTTAGGTGTTTGATCCATTTTGAGTTAGTTTCTGTGGTGATGGACAACTTTGGACATATATCAACAGTGATATATGTATCACTGGAGTCCCTGAAGGAATGGAGGGAAGGGGAACCAAAAGAATTTGAAGAAATAACAGCCAAAAATTGTTCACATTTGAGGAACACTATAAGTCCATGGATCCAAGAAGTTCAGTGAATCCCAAGCTCAAGAAACATGAAGAAAATCCCACACTAAGACACATATTCAAATTGCCCAAAAGCAATGATAAAGAGAAAATCTTAAAAGCAGCCAGAGAGAAAAAACGTGGATAAAGATGATAGCAGATTTCTCATTGGAAATAGTACAAGTGAGAAGACAGTGCAGTAACATTTTTCAAGTACTAAAAGGAAAAAACTATTAACTTAGAATACTTTACCCAGTGAAAATATCTTTTAGGAACAAAGAAAATATCTTTAAAAAAAAAGAAAAAAGACTTTTCTCATGTATATGAAAATAACAGAATTCAGC